TGACATATCAGGATTAACGGTTATATAAGACTTTATTCTACTTGACCTTAGTATTCACTATTTTATATTGTTATTCTTTTTTTTTTTTGGTACCGGTGATCAAACTCGGTACCTTGCAATTTCGAGGCAGGCAGCGGAACCACTGAGCTAAATCTCGGGCCCTTGTTATTCATCTTTTAATTCCTAGCAACTAGAAGAGTATTTAATAAAACTTTTTTCTATAATTAAAAAAGATGCATACTATTATGGTTTTAGCATCCAAGCATCACTAAATTAAGAGAAATGACCCTCAACACAATACAAAACTAGATTCAAGGAATCCTTTAACATGTTCCTGAGGGCTTGAACTATCAGTGGTACATGCAGGACTGTGCCACTGGGCACATTATACCACCGATGGTACAAACAGATCCAATCACTTCTATCAGTCTTTCTACTAATAAAATTAATAAAGAGCTGCCTGATGGGACAGTCAGGTATGTGCCACCAATGGTTAAAGATCGCTAGCAGCAGGCTGGGGATTTAGCTCAGTGGTTCCAGCGCCTGCCTTGCAAGCGCATGGTCCCGAGTTCGATCCCCAGTACCGAAAAGAAAAATCCCTAGCAGTAAGACATACAAATTACACCCCCATCATGAACATGTGAAAATATTTGAGTCAGACATGGAGGCACATGCCTGTAATGGCAGCACTCCAGAAACTAAAGCAGGAGTATCACAAGTCCAAGGCCAGTTTAGGCTACAAAGCAAGTTCCAGAGCAGTTTAGACTACAGTGAGACCCTGAATCAAATAATAATTGCTATTATTATTCTTGAAAGGTTTTCAAAACTGTGTATGATTTATCTTCCATAAACCAAAAAACAAATCTGGATTTGTAGATATTAGGTTTGATTGAAACAAAGAACAGTAAAAAACATTTAAATAACACAATATTACTGGAATAGAAGAATTAAATTTACTTCTTATATCTTAAAATTAACAGACACAGGGCTGGGGATTTAGCTCAGAGGTTCCGGCGCCTGCCTTGCAAGCGCAAGGTCCCAAGTTCGATCCCCCCGGTACCAATAAATAAATAAATAAACAAACAAACAGACACAGAAACTTGTAAAGAGTTTGTCAGGAGAATTTTTGTTTTGCAAAGTTTAATTAAATAAAGGTAAGAAAAGAAAGAGGCTCTCTAGAGGGCCAAGTAAAAGTAGGAAAAGAAATACATCCTACAATGTGAAAGTGGGCCATCCATGCAAGACAGAACACAGTGACCTGTCAGAGAATTTTGAATTCATAATTTGATTCCTACTCAATGAAATCAGGTCATATATGCACATACAGTTTTTCATCTTGCTTCAATTCTGTTCTCAAATATAAGACTAGTACTAATAGCTCACTGCAAAGAAAGTACTTAAAAGAAAATGTACCTTTTTTTTAAAGTTCAAAAAGTAATTTGTAGCTCAGTGGGAAAGCCAGGGTTTAATCATTACTACCACCCTCCCAAAAAAATTTTTTTTCAAGTGTCGCTTAAAAAAAAGGGCTTCTTGGGCTGGGGATTTAGCTCAGTGGTTTCGCCGCCCGCTGCGCAAGTGCAAGCACCTGAGTTCAATCCCGGTACCAAATTACCAAAAAAAAAAAAAAAAAAAGGGCTTCTGGGCTGGGGATTTACCTCAGTTGGTTCTGACACTTGTCTCGCAAGTACAAAGTCCCGAGTTCGATCCCCAGTACCAAAGGGGGGGGCCTTCTGTTAAATTAAAATATGTTAATATTTTAATAATTGTTAATTTTAATTTAATATGTTAAATATGTAAATTAAAATTTACATATGTAGCTCTATTACCTACATATATGAAAAAAAAAATCTAAGCTTATAGCCAGGCTTGATGGCACATGCCCACAATACCAGCACTCAGGAAAGCTGAGGCAGGAGGAATGCCAAGAGTTCAAGGCCAGCCTAAATTACATAGCAAGACTCTGTCTCAAAAACAAAAGCAAAAAAAAAATAAACATCTTCCAACAATACCAAATTATAAATTATAAATACAAGTAATTTTAAAATGCTGTATAATATGATGCTAATGACCTACTGTTTCATACCAGCTATACTATATGAAATTCTTTCCCCAAGTTTTAGCTCTTAAGACCATTTCCCATTCCAACAAGGCATCTCATGACTACAAGTTTGTCAAACTGAGTCAGAAAGCAGAACAATATGTGGCACTAGCTTACAGAAGGTAACATTTTAGTTCATGTAATATACAAGCTTCTTTACCCTAAGCTTCGGCAAGCATATTATATTGGAAATTCAAACTCTAACAGAAATTGTGTTCTGTAAATTAGAAAGATCAGATGAGACAACCTGCCACTGACTCGGCAACTTTTTCACTTTACAACCTATACTTAAAGATGCAAGCAAATGACTGAAACTTGACTTTTAAGCAGCAAAACCCAATTCAAAATCAATATTTGTTTTAGCAGGAAATGCCAATGAAAATACAAGATATTCTGGTTTTAACTGGCAAAGGTGCTCTGTTATTTATCAAAATCCCATGTGGATAGCTACAAATTAGCTTTTATTGCATATACTTAACATGTTTCTTTATAAAGAGTTCCTCAACCAAATAATCTTCCAAGTCTGGAAGGATGAACTGTTACAGTCTTTACACCATTACAGTTCCTTGTAATTTAAAACATTTCCTTTTCAAAAGTCTCCACACACCAACTCTGCTGAAATTTCTTCAGCTAAAAACTCAAGTTGATACTATAACATACTATATTTACTCTCAACAACAGAATGCATTCATTTACAAATTATACAGGATTTAGTCCAACAGACAACTTCAACATTTCTAACATCACAGCTTTTCTGTTATTCAAACTAATAAGTCTAAACAGTTGGATACTAGTCAAAGTGCTAGTAGCTGAAGTCAACTGACATATGATCAATTTCCTAAAACCAATGATACAAAAGATTAGATCCTAATCTCAATGAACTATTTTGCAAAATCGTCAACAAATAAGGATGGGGGAAAGTGTCCACTGCGTGGCAGAAATCTCCCAGCATTACTAGAAAAATGAGTCAAAGCAAGCCTAAATGAGTGGCAAATCAAGTTCATGAATACAAATCTAAGTTTATTTTTGAGTTTCTAGTTTTATACCAAGAAGGCAACTTACGGACTCTTTTAATACAATGAACTTGGCAAGAAATATAGGGGTTTTTTCATGGTTATAGTGATCAAGAACAGGTATCCTTTAAAGTATAGAGATGAGGTTTTCCTTTCGCAACTAATTTTGCTTCTACTGCATGCACAAAAATCATACATTCTGCATTTCCGGTAGCTTAATACACATTATCGGCTCAAATCAAATATTTATTGGGAACTTAGCACTTTAGAAATAAGGACCTCCTTCATCTTAATACACACCCTCGGCTAACATGCCACCCCACGTTACCCCGCCCTATATTCTCTAGGGCGCACTGTACTACTAATTTTCCTCTTTTTTACTCGGCCTAAGCTTGCTCTGCAGAGCCAGTTTCTCCCTTACCCTTCACTTTTACTTTTTTCCTACTCAAATAAATGTGAAATTTTGCTACCGTTAAAAATATATACATATACAGAGCCGGGGATTTAGCTCAGTGGCACCGTGCCTGACTTGCAAGCGCAAGGTCCTGAGTTCGATCCCCGATACCAAAAAAAATACATATAGATAGATCTGTACAGATATATATATATATCCTCTAAATTGGCGTCTGAAACAATCTAACACCGGTGTGTAGACAGTTACGAAGGCTCGATGGGTCCATTTTTCAGGCTACAATTCTGGCAAGCTCTCTAAGGCACGAAGCACACAGCCGGCTCGAGGATTCACTACTGGGGGTGATACTTTCCCTCACATCACCACAAGTAACTACGGTAACTGCTCCAATTTTTTCCCCTGTGAAACAAACGCGAAAGGAGGGGGAACTATCTGAAAACTAGGTCATTCCTTATTTGTTCTGATGCAGCACGGTTTTCGGGAGGGACAATGCCTAGGAAGCAGAAAGAAGTGGGGAAAAGAGACTGCGCCCACGAGCAGGAAAGCTGCAGCTCTCTCAGCAGTCTGCACCTCCGCGGGCTTCCCGCGCGCCGCAGCCCCTGGGGGTGACCCGAAGCCCTCCGCGCAGAGCCGCACCAGCCCGGCCGCACCCCACACCACACCTGCGGGGACCCGCCCTGCCCTCCCGCGCTCCGCGCCGTTGCCTCGCTCTCCCGGGGCGGCCGGCGGCTCTGGCCCGGGCCTCGCGCACGCAGAGGCTCCCGGGGCGCGGGCGGCCCTACCGTCGCCTCCGAGGCTCGGGTTGCCCAGCCCGGAACCGTGGAGAAGCAAGGCCGGACCCGGGACGCGCCCACCCCGCGGACACTCACCTGCCGCGCCAGCCAGGAGCGCCGCCCGACGCCGCTCCACCCGGGCGCGAGGCTCCGCGGCCTGGGCACTGGCGGGGCAGGCCGGGACGGCTCGGGGCCGCGCGCCACGCCGCTCTGCGTCTGCGCGCTCCGGCCGGGTCTCGGGGCGCCGCCGCCGTGAGGGGACCGGGGACGTGAGCCCGTGAAGGGCCGGCGAAAGGGGCAGTCTAGGAGCTGCCCGCGGCACTGCGAGCCCGATGGCCGACTGCCAAGTTCCGCTCCTGCTTTCGGTTCTCCCGGCCTTCCGTCCCTCTCCACAGAGCCGCACTTTCCTCCTTTCCTCCGCCGCTCCGTTCCCTCCCTAAGCGGAGGCGGCAGGGGAGGGTGGAGGCTGTGTGGGCGGGGACACACTCGAGTTCCGCCCCCAGGGAGGTGCGGTCGCCCCTCCCCGCCCTTCCCCGACGGCGACCCCACGGCCAGGCTGCCGGCGGGGCCTCGCGCACGCGCGGAGAAAGCGTGGCGCGGACGCGAAGCTGTGGGAGGCGCACCCCGGGCCGCTGGCCCTTTGGCTGGTGCTCGTCTGAAGGGCCTCAGGCGGGAACAGCTGCTCCGCTCCAAATGTTCAGGCCCGGAAAGTGACGTGGAGTGGGTCGGTCCCTGAGGAGAGTAACGCGGGAACGTAGGACTTCTCCGCGGGTGGAGTGGGGTTCCCGCCTGGGCCGGGGCAGGGGCCGGGGTAGGGGCCGGGGCCGCAGGCCGGCGCTCCTCACGGCCGCGCCCCAGCGCCTCAGGCCGGGCCGCTCGGGCCTCGTTCCTGTGTGCTCGGGCGGCGCCGGTCGGCTGAGCACACATCGGGCCCGCCTCGGAGGCGGACCCCAGTCTGCGCGTCAGTCCGAAGCGAAACGCAAAATTTGCAGGATACTTTTTCACAGTGTTTTAAAGTTATCATAACCGGGCCGGGGATTTGACTCAGTGGTTTTGCCGCCTGCTGTGCAAGCAAAAGACCCGAGTTCGATCCCCGGTACCAAAAAAAAAAAAAAAGTTATCATAACCAACCAGGCGGCAAGTGGTTTGAAATCAATCAGAACTTTTTAAAATTAACTTAGTCCTAGCCCAAAGATACCAGCCAATGACACTGATTCCACCTCGGATCACAGTGGAACTGGTTAGATCCGGGCAGATCTGGTGAGCATTCCCGTATGTAATGATCACTGTCCTGAGATAACGCTCTCTTTAGTCTATAGTTTTGCTTAAAAAAAAAAAAAAAAAAGTGTGAGTACACCTGGTTTATAAATGCCCTGTTCTCAATTTTTTTTTCCTGAAGTTTACTGCACGTACGGATAATTTGAGGTTTGTATTCAGTAACAGAACAATGTCAGGATTCCGAAGACATGCACATCATTATTTAAATATAGTTTGGTCGGGCTTGTTGACGCACGCCTCTCAGCTACTAAGGAACCTGAGGATCGAGGGTCCCCAGTTTGAGGCCAGCCTGGCACTTTAGTGAGACCTTCTCTCAGAGTAAAAAGGCCTTGGGATGTGTCCCAGCGCTCCCTAAATTCAATCCTACTCCTGGGGAGAGAGGGACAAGAGTTCACAGTCAGTTTGGACCTCTGGAAACCATCATTGATAGTGACCATAGAGACAGAAGTTTTTTAAAGAATCTGATATTTCAAAATTTAGTTTGAACTTCTTGTCCATCCTTATGAAAGTGCAAATTAATTTAAATTGCAAATTAATAATTTAAAAATGTTTAATTGGAGCTGAGGATATAGATCTCTATAGGTAGAGATCTTGCCCAGCACCACACTTGCACACAAAAAAATGACAGTTAACAAGATTTCTTAGTGGGTACGCATCATTAACCCTCAAGGTTGAGAATTCCTCTCTCTCCTATACTGTTGAAAAATGGAAGAAGCCAGGATCATCCATTTGATTGATTTTGCTCATTTTGCAATTTAGATTTTGACAAATTCTTTAATATTTCTTAGTGTTTTAATTGTCCTATAGTTTTATCATAGATTGCCATTTTCTTGCCAAAATTTCAGAGAACAAGTTTATATGCTGTGGACTTAAGTTTTCACTAGAGGTCTAGAAGTGCTTGATTCAACAACCTACTGAACTGCACTGTTACATGCCCAGGGCTTAATTAAATAAGCTTGTTTTTACATTTAATATGTAAATATTTCACTGTCTTAAAAGTACATAGAGAACTAGAGAAGCCACTAACCACTTTACTGTGGTAATTACAGCATCACAGTTCAGATGAGCCTATAGAATGCACAGGAATGGAGGAGAGGGTATAGCTCAGTGCACAACATAAGGCCCTAGGATAATCACTGGAGCCCATTGGAGAGACGAACATGTTCTAGTAGAAAGCTCCTTAATGCTTTCTGATGGGCATGGTCCCTGCAGACTGCTATGGATCTGGAAGGCAAAGGAGCTAAATGTATACATTGAAAATTGTCTTAAACTAAGCAAGATAGTTTTGGTAGCTATCTTTAATGTGGCAGCAGACCCCATCAATTTTATCATTCTACATATTTGTTCTCGTAGCATGGTGGCACAGCCTGTAATTCCAGCTTCTCAGGATGCTGAGGCAGGAGGATTGTGAGTTCAAGACCAGCCTGGACAACATCATAACACTGTCTCTAGAGAAAAATCCAAGCTGGGTATGGTGGCCCATGCCTGTAATCCCAGCACTTGGAAGGCTGAGGCAGGAGGATAGCTTCAATTTTGAGACCAGCCTAAACTACATAGTGAGATCCCATCTCAAAAAACAAAAAAAAACACCAAACATTTTTAAATTTAAAAAATTTTTTTAAATCCTAAGCATTGCCCTGTAAGGGCAGTGTCACATATATGTGTTGACATATCATGTGCTGTTCTAGGAGCCTAGAACCTAGCATGGTAGCACATACATAGTGGTCTATCAAAAACCAATTGATAGGGCCGGGGATTTAGCTCAGTGGTTTCGCCGCCTGCTGCGCAAGCACAAGGACCAGAGTTCGATCCCTGGTACCAAAAAAAAAAAAAACCAATTGATAGGCTGGGTGTGGTGGCACATGCCTGTAGTCCCAGCACTTGGGAGGCTGAGGCAGGCAGACCTTGAGTTTGAGGCCAACCTGGGCTAAATAGTGAGACTTTGTCTCAAAAAAAAATTGATGGAGGTTGAGAGAGGGGTAAGGCTCTTAACTAGCATGTGTAATGCGCATGAGTTTGATCTCTAGCACTGCACACACACAAAAAAAATGGGGAATGACGCATATATCAGTCTCCACTCCTGGGCTAGTTTGGTTTTCCTCATGTGTAAAGTGAGTAGAATGATATTCATAAAGAAGACATTTATTAATTAACAATAAGCTATAAGTATTAATCCAGTTCAGTAATACTAAGCACATATGATACATAATATCTCATGTATACAACAGTCTTTGCCTCGTGTTATTTATGTCTCTGTTTTTGTTTTTGTTTTTGTTTTTTTGGTTTTTGGTTTTCTAAGACAGGTTCTCCCTATGTGCTTTAGACTGGTCTTGAACTTACTGTATATCCCAGGCTGGCCTCGAACTCCCGGCAATCTTCCTGCCTTAGCCTTCCAAGTGCTGACATTATAGGCAAGCACACCATGCCTAGTGTCCTAGAATTTGTATCTTTGTGTAGTTTCCTCATATTGAATTTTAATGAACTTACTGTTTTCTGCTACATGGAGTACATTGAAAGTGATAATATCTCTAACAAGATGAAATTGTAAAAAAGACTTCTAAGCTAGGTGTGGTGCACATGTCTGTAATCCTAGCACTTGGGAGGCTGAAACAGAAGGATCACTGTGACTTCAAGGCCAGCCTGGGCTACAGCCTGCACTGCAAAGCCAGACCCAATCTCAAAAAGACCAAAAAAAGAAAAGAAAGAAAAAGCACTTCTATCTTTTTCTCATCCAGAGAATAAGCTCACTGGCTTGCTCTTGGAAAACCAGCTACCATGTCCCCAGGCAGCCCTAAGAATGAGTCTGAGAGCGCGTCCCAAAGTTGAACCCTGAAATGACTATAGCTCCACACAATACTTTGGTAGCACACCCTGAGCCAGAATCACCCAACTAAGCCGCTTCAGAATTCTCTACTCACTCTCTACTCACATGGGATAGTAAATGCTGCTTCTTTCCAGATGAAGAATTCAAGGGTAATGATTCCACAGCAGGTGACCAGTAGTGAAATAACACATTGTGCCTGGAAGATCACAAGTGCTCATTAATGATAGAACTTTTTAAAGTGAATGTAAGTGGGTTTGTTTAGCATTTAACGTAGCATTCTATAGGGCTGATCCAACTTACTTTACTACTTCAGTGATAGTGTTTACAATTGCAATACAAGAAGATACTCGGAAAAAGTGGAAAAATTGATTTCACTTGATCTGCTGTTTGTAAACTACCTTTGTTGAAGAAATTTCATGAGAATGTATTTTACGTGATGTTTACAATTTGCCTAAAAACTGCACAGGGGGAATGAGGGGAGAGGAAGGCTCTAAATACAGAATGGACACACGGAGTGTGCTGATGGACACTTGAGAATTCCTTACACTGTTCTTTAGTTTGCATGTCTTTTCAAAAATTTCCATCATAAAGAAAATTGTTTTTATCTGGGCCTGGTAGCACATGCCTGTAATCCTAGCACCATTGAAGGCTGAGGCAGGAGGATTGAAAGTTTGAAACCAGTGTGAGTAATTCAGTGATTTAGTGAGACCGTATTTAAAAATTAAAATTAAAAAAGGGCTGGGGATGTAGCTCATTATGAAGGCCCTGGATTCGATCCCCATTAACACAGACAAGTTGTTTTAAGTATTTTATGTACTCATAAGTTTGGTACTGAGAGCAATTTTTAGGGATCATCTGTAAAAATAACTCATTTGCTAAGTGCCTAAACTGCTGAGCTAGGCTCAAACTTGTGATCATTCCTGCCTTGGCCCCCAGGTCCAAGAATTATGAGCATGCATCACCACATCTGGTTTAGACTCACTCAATTTCATGACATCTTTTTTTTAAATTTTGATTTCACATATGAGAGAAATGTTTAACTCTTGTGAATCTTATTTTCTGTATACTTCCACCTACTCCTCTCCCCTCTCTGTTTGAAACAAATAAATATCAGAGAAAACCTCCAGTGCGGGAAAAAAATTTTACCAGCTGTTCCTCAGACAAGGTCTACTATCTAGAATATATAAAGAACTCAAAAAAATCAGACCCCCCCCCAAATATAAAGACCTGATTCAAAAATGGGCATCTGAAATGAACAGACATTTCTCAGACAAACAAGTAAAAGCAGCAAATAAACGTGAAAAAATGTTCAACATCACTGATCATTTGAGACGTGCAGATGAAAACAACACTGAGATTCCACCTCACCCCAGAAAGAATGGCTGCTATCAAGAAATCAAGCAGTAACAAATGCTGGTGGGGCCTCTGGGGAGAAAGGAACTCTTCTCCATTGTTGGTGGGAGTGCAGACTGGTGCAACCACTGTGGAAATCCGTATGGAGATAACTCAAAAAACTAGGATTAGAGGTCCCATTTGATCCAGCTATCCCTGTGCTGGGTATCGTTCCAAAAGAATTAAAAGAATCATACCACAGCGATATATGCGCACCCATGTTTATAGTGGCACAGTTTGTAATAACTAAAACTTGGAAACAGCCCAAATTCCCATCAACTGGAGACTGGATAAAGACGATGTGGTTTTTCTATAAAGTGGAATACTACTCAGCCATAAAGAATGAGAAACTAGTGACATTTATAGCTAAGTGGATGCACATTGAGGCCATACTCAAGTGAAATAAGTAGGACACACATGTAAATACCAAATAGTTTCTCTGGTGTGAAAAACTAAAAATGTAAATAAGGCTCAAATGGTATAATTGATAATGTGAAATAGGAAGAAAAGGTCTAAAGGAGTAGGGGAAGTGGGAGAGGTAGGGGCAAGGAAAGAAGGGAAAAGAAGAAATATGAGAAAAGGAAAAAAATGGAAACAGTCTATAAATAGGGAAGGGTGGAGAGGGTGAGGGGAGGGCAGGGAAATGGAGAAAAAATAAGAGCTAAGATACATCACATAAAGGTACAAGATCCCAATGATGAATGTAACTATTTTATACCTAAAATGTATGAATAAACTTAATGAAAAAACAAAAAACAAATAAATATCATTTCAGAGGCAGATACTGTGTTGCACAATTGTAATCCCAGCACTCGGGAGACTGAAGCAGGAGAATCACCTTCAAAGGCAGCCCAGACCACATAGACCAAGGAAGGAAGGAAGGAAGGAAGGAAGAAGCAGAAGAAAGGGAGGAAGGAAGGAAGGTAGGTCTTGTTTATCATTTCTCATGTTGCTTTGGGTTCTTTGGAACAAGGTCTTGCTATATAGCCCAGGTTGGACACTCTAATTTTCCATCCTCCGGTTTGGCCACCTGAGTGCAGAGTACAGATACTGTATACCCTGTGCCCAGCACCATAAGGCCTTCTTAATATGGCCATTCCCAAATTTATTTTAACCACAAGGTAAATTAATGATAACTTTCTTTTTTTTAACTTTCTTCAATAGCAAAACATTTATTGGTACATTTTAGGCATACATAATGATAACACTCTTTGTAGGGAATTTACATCTGTACATGATACCTCCTGCCTCTTTCTTTCCCATTCCCTACCTCTCCTAAGCCTCCCTCCCCTCCCTATATACAAAAGCTTTGTTTCCATTTTTTCCTTCTATTTTCACTTTTTTTTTTTGGTCCTTTTTTTCCTTCCACCCTCTTCCCTTGTTCCCCTTTCCATTTGAACATTTTCTTCCCATTTCCCAATATCTATTACACATTTTCGTCCTTATTTCCAGTTTCAGTTTTTCACACCAGAGAAACAATGTGGTATTTAAACATGCGTGTCCAATTTATTTATTTCACTTAAGAGTATGGTCTCAAGGTGCATCCATTTAGATGGAAATGCCTGAAGTTCATCCTCCTTTATGGCAGAGAAGTACTCCATTAGGTAAAAAATCCACATCTTTATCCATTCATGGGTTGGTGGACATTTGGACTGTTTCCAAGATTTAGCTATTACAAACTGCCACTATACACATGTGGATGCATATATTGCTGTGGTAGAATGCTTTTAATTTTTTCAGAACAGTACCAAGAAGAGGGATAGCTGGGTCAAATGGAACCCCTAGGTTTAATTTTTTGAGGAATCTCCACACTGATTGCCACATTTGTTGCACCATTTTACACTCCCACCAACAATGCAGAAGGGTTCCTTTTTCCCCACAGTCCCTCCAGCATTTTGGGGGGTTTTTTTTGGTACTGGGGATTGAACTCCGGTCCTTGCGCTTGCGAGGCAGGTGGCCAGAACACTGAACTAAATCCCCAGCCCCCTTCAGCTTTGTTATTGGTTGATTACTTTATAACAGCCATTATTTCTGGAGTGAAATGGAATCTCAGTGTTGTTTTAATTTGCATCACTTGAATGACCAGTGACGTTGAACATTTTTTCATATATTTACCATTTCTACTTCATCTGAGAAGTGACTATTCATTTCAGATGCCAATTTTTCAATTAAGTCTTTAAATTTGGAGCATTTGATTTTCTTGAGTTCTTTATATATTTTAGATAGCAGTCCATTGTCTGAGAAATAGCTGACAAAAAATTTTTCCCATACTGTGGGTTGTCTCTTCATCCCATTAGTGGTTTCTCTTGCTGTGCAAAAGCTTTTTAATAAGATGATGTCCTAATTATTGAACCTTTGTAGTATTTCCCATGTAGTCTGGGTTTTCTTCATGAAATCTTTGCCTACTCTTGTGTCCCCAAGCATTCTGCCTATTCTCCCTTCCAACAGATTTAGTTTTTCTGTTTTAATATTTAGATCTTTGATCCATTTCAATTTTAGGCTAGTGGATGGTGAAAGATATGAGTCTAGTTTCAATCTTCCACATGTGGAAATCCAGTCTTTCCAGCACCATTTATTTATTTATTTTTCCAGCACCATTTATTAAAGAGTTTATCTTTCTGCCAGTAGAGGTATTTGGCTCCTTTGTCAAAGATAAGGTGGCTGAGTATGTCTGGAGTTGTTTCTGCATTTTCTAATCTGTTCCACTGATCCTCAGGTCTGTTCTTTTGCCAGTACCATACTGTTTTTATCACAATAGCTTTGCAATATAATTTCAGATCAGAGATTGTGATGCCCCCTACCTTGCCTTTGTTGCCCAGAATTGACTTTGCTATTCTAGGTCTTTTCTGGTACCAAATGAATTTTAAGGATTTTTTTTCTAATTCTGTGAGATATGCTATTAGAATGTTGATTCAGATTACATTTAATCTGTATAACAATTTTGGAAGTATGGCCATTTTCACTATATTAGTTCTTCCTATCCAAGAATAAGGGATATCTTTCTATATTCTCATATCCTCATCAATCTCTTTTTTCAGAGTACTATAGTTTTCGATATACAGGTCTTTTACTACCTTAATTAAATTGATTCCTAGGTATTTCATTGTTTTGGATGCTTTTGTGAAAGGTGTTGTTTCCCTGATTTCTCTCTCAGTGAATTTGTTATTCATATACAGGAATGCTATTGATTTTTGAGTGTTGACTTTATATCCAGCTATGCTACTGAATTTGGTTATCAAATCTAAAAGTCTTTTGGTGGAGTTTTTGGGTCTTCTGTGCAGAGTATTGTGTCATCCACAAATAATGATAATTTAACTTCTTCCTTTCCTATCCTTATTCCTTTTCATTTCTTTCTCTTGTATAATTGCTCTGGCAAATGTTTCCAGAACTATATTGAATAAGAGTCATGACAGTGGATATCCTTGTCTCATTCCTGATTTTAGAGTGAAAGCTTTCAATCTTTGTCCATTTAGTATGATGTTGGCTATTGGTTTGTCATAGATGGCTTTTATCAGATTCAGGTAAAGACCATCCATACCAATTTTCTGTATGGTTTTTATCATGAATGGGTGTTTTGTTGATTCCCTTTGCCAGTATCTTAGAGAGGAATTTTGCATCTATGTTCATTAGGGACATTGGCCTGTAGTTCTGTTTTGTGGTTGGATCCTTCTCTGGTTTTGGTATTAGGGTAATGCTTGCTTCCAGGAATGAGTTTGGGAATATTGCTTTCCTTTCAGTTTCATTAAAGAGTTTGAGAAGTAGCAGCATTAAGTCTTCTCAAAATTTCTTATAGAATTCAGCAGTGAATCCATCAGGGCCTGAGCTTTTCTTTGTTGGTAGGTTTTTTAATTACATCTTCAATTTCATTGACTGATATTGAGTTATTTGGAATTGTTATATCTTCTTGATTCACCTTTGATAATTCATGTGTATATAGGAATCTGTCCATTTCTTCGGTATTTTCCATCTTATTAGAATACAGGTTCTCAAAGTAGGTATAAATCTTCTGGATTTCTGCAGGGTCTGTTGTGATTTCACCCTTTTCATTCCTAATTGCATGGATTCAAGTATTTTCTTTCCTTTTTTTTTTTTTGATAAGGTTTGCTGAGGGTTTGTCAATTTTATTTACTCTTTCCAAGAACTAACTCTGCGATTCATTGATTCTTTGTATTTTTTTTTTTTTAGTCTCCATTGCATTAATTTCTTCTCTGATCTTTATAATTTCCTGTCACAAATGACCTTTGTGCTTGACTGGCTCTTCTTTTTCTAGAAGCTTGAGGTTCAACATTAGGTTGTTTATTTAAGCCTGCTCTGTTCACCTGATATGGGTATTCACCACTATAAATTGCCCTCATAGGACTGCTTTCATTGCATCCCAAAAGTTCCAGTATATTGTACTGGCATTATTGTTTAAGTACAGAAACTGTCTGATTTCTCTTTTAATTTTGTCTGTTACCCATTGACTATTCAGGAGGATGTTATTTCATTTCCATGTGTTTATGAAGTACTTTTTTTTTGGTATCAGGAATCGAACTCAGGACCTAGTGCTTGCAAGGCAAGCAGTATGAAGTTCTTGTAACAGGAGGTTTTTTTCCCATTGATTTCCAATGTCTTTTTTTTTATTCTTAAGTTCTTTTATTGGTACATTTTAGGTATACAATACATTTACATTTATCATTGGTTGCTTGTACCTGTACATGATGTATCTTGATTCTTATTTTTTACCCATTACCTGTGCGCCCTTCCCTATTTACATAGACTTTGTTTCCATTTTTTATTCTTTTCTCATAATTTTTCCTTTCCCTTCTTTCCTTTCCCCTTCCCCTCCCTTCACCCCTACCTCTTTGGACCTTTTTTCCTATTTCAAATTATCAGTTATTCATTTTAATCATTTTAACCCTTATTTACACTTTCAGTTTCTCACACTAGAGAAACTATTCAGTATTTACATGTGTGTCCTATTTATTTCACTTAAGAGTATGGCCTTGATATGCATCCATTTAGCTATAAATGACTATTTTCTCATTCTTTATGGCTGAGTAGTACTCCATTTTATTTTTAAAAACCACATCTTCTTTATCCAGTTTCCAGTTGATGGGCACTTGGGCTGCTTCCAAGCATTAACTATTACAAACTGTGCTGCTATAAACATGGGTGGACATATATCGCTGTGGTATGATTCTTTTAATTCTTTTTGGAAGATGCCCAGCAGGGGAATAGCTGGGTCAAATGGGACCTCTAGTCCTAGTTCTTTGAGGCATCTCCATACTGATTTCCACAGTGGTTGCACCAGCCTGCACTCGCACCAGCAATGGAAAAGGTGATTTCCAATTTCTATGTACTATGGTCTGATAATATACATGTGATACCTTCAAATCCTTTACATTTACTTACTCATGTTCTATGAGCTAGTGTATGATCTATTTTGGAGAACATCCCCTGTGCAGCTGAGAAGAATGTGAATTCTGATGTTGTAGGGTGGAACACTCTCTAGACATCTACTCAATCCATTTGTTCAAAAGTTTGGTTCAGTTCAAATATTTCACTGTTAATTTTTTGTCTAGATGATGTGTTTATTTGTGACAGTGGGGGTACTGATGTCCCTCATTATAACTGTATTAATGCTTATAAGATTTTTCATGTCTGTTAATATTTGTTTTATATTGTAGGGTACACTGCTACTTGGTGCATATATATTTATGATTCTTATCTGTTCCTCTTGGATTGTTCCCTTTACAAGGATACAGTGAACTTCTTTGTCTCTCTTAATCACTCTTGGCTTGAAATCTACTTTATGTGCAAATAGAATAGCTACTCCTGTTTTTCCCCGGTTCTTGTTGTGTGGAATGTTGTTTTCCAGCATTTGATTTTCAGTCTATGAATTTCTTTTTTAATTAAATGTGTTTCTTGTATGCAGTATATT